TCTCTTTCTCTCTCTCTCTCTCGATAAAACCACAGTTTAAATTCTAGAACTTTACTTGGATTCAAAAAGATTTTCGTAAGTTTCACATTAATAACTAGTATACCTCGATGATTATCTTTTACGCAAGAAAGTCAAAGTTCACATTATAAAGACTGGTTTTTAATTAATTTTTATTTTCATCGCTTAGTTTAAAAATAACCGGACGGATCATACTTCCAGACATCGAATGCTAAAGTTTCGTATGGTAGCGCGAGACATTTAAGGCTACGCCGGAGATTTCGACTCCGACACTGCTATCCCGGGAGGAATTACAGACTGATCAGGAAGCTCGGCAAAAGCCTAAGAGAGAGGTGGCCTGAATGGTGCCAGTGTCGCTATTGAACGGCTAAGTACCCATAGCTACTCCTTTCCGCCATGTGGGACGCGTTTTCAAACTCATACGGCCGCAAAATATTTACATGCAAACTTGGCTAACAACGGAGTTTCCTTGCTTTACTTAGTCTGTCAAGCTTCCACGAATTGGGCGTGTGATGATAGCCCGATGATCGCTATAGCTTCCTATGCCAGCCGCGTTATGTCGTCACGCAAAGCTCACTAAAGGCGCGATTACACTGAAAAATTTTCTCTGCAAATTGCTATTGACCAGCGTTGAGACACAAGTTGCAAGAGTGCTTTTTGAAGAAGCCATTGCGTTGCCAACCGTAGCTACTTTGCGCAACCATTGCTGCTACTTTCTATCTTTGTTCCTCTCCCCTGGACTCCAGCCGATTGCGCACGTAAATTTACATCAATAACCTTCGTTCTCCTCTCGTCCATTACCCCAGACAAGACCGACTTCGATCGTCTCTGTGTTTCGTGCAAACTATCCTCGTCGCTTTGCTTGAAAGTCTTACTTTTAGCACTATTTTGTTCCTTGTTCTCTGAAATATTTTCACCAGCGTCTACTTCCTTTTCTGGAAATTCTGCATCTTTAGTTGTATCCTTCAGCAAGTGTTCTTCATTACTTTCTTTCTTTTTCTTGGTCGCTACATCACCTTGCTTCACTTCTATCTGCTCCACATTGCTTCCTGTTTGTGGTTCAGAAATAATTCCAATATCCTCGACTTTCTTTTCTCCATTGGCTTGATCTTTTAAATCATTCTCAGTTCGTTTATTTTCAATCCAGGCTTTTTCGATACTTCCATCAGGAATTTCTTCACCTTGTCCCTCTCTAGTTTGACGTTCAGCTTTACCATTACTAACGAAATGCTGTGACTCGCCAGGATTTTTGTCCAATGACGTCGAAACTGCCAGATTCTTCATCGTCGATGCTCTTAAGCTGGAAGAATCCTTTCTGGCTTGGATAGCAAAAGTCTGCTTCAACACAGGCAAAGACTCATCTTCTTTATGCCTTTCTTGACCAACATTAGTAAATGATTTGGAATTTGACTCTAGTTTCGTTTTTGTTGGTTTTCTTTTTCCTTTCGTAGCACCATCACGTGTATCTTTTCTCTCCACAGGCGGGAGCTTCATTCTGGCCTTAGTTTCCATAGCAACGGCTGTGATAAAAAATGAGTCTCTTGGTCGCTTTTTGTCAGGAGTGGTTTGCGGGCGATATATTCCGAGTGATTTTTGCCTAGATATGATTTTCTCTCGGTGGGAAATGATCAGTGATTTCTCAAAAGCGAAATATCGTTCTCTCATTTTTTGCTCTACAGATATACGTTTAAGCTCGAAATTCAAGAGAATTTGGTGTTTTCTGTTTGCTTTCATGAACAATCCATCTGCTTCACTGTGTGCCTGCTTGCCTCTCATAATTGAATGTAAACTTAAAACAACTACCAAAGGATATCCTAAAAGTCCAGATGAATGAGCTTGTCAAGAAAAATGGCTCCAAAATTTTGTTTAACTTGTTAGTTTGTTGTTTAGCGGACTTCGTGACCTCAAGATTCCATAGCAAATTTCTTTTCAATTCACTCGAATTACTTGCTGCACGACGAAGATAAACCAACTTAGCTATTGGTGAAAATTTTGAGAGTTTATCGTGAAGTACCAAGTTGATTTTGAGTGTTTCTGAAGAACACGAAAATTACAATTTTGTCAAACTTCACATGGACTAATTCCTCATTAAGTCAACACTGACATCAAAGAAGAACAAACAATGGAGAACTGATATTCTAAAACCTTCTTAACGATCCAAACTTTCCTTTCTTTCTCTAGTACTTGATTCCAGTTGGTTTTAACTTCATCACAAAAATATCTTTATCCTGCAATTTCTAAGTAGAGTTCTGTCTGCATTGAGTAAGAACCACCAGTCGACTCCAATAAAGTATTTACTATTAATTAGCATCATCCACAATTGACTAATAATTGTTTGGTTAGCTTTGTGTATTCTCTGCTAGTCTATTCTTAATCGAAAACGTATCACAACTCGTTAAACACGTCCCTCCATGGCTGAGTGAATGCTTATGGTTGCGTTCCCATGACAACAAATCATTTTAATAAATTCTGTAGCTGTAGTATTAGTCGGAAGTGGTTGATGGCTGAGAAAGATTTCCCTTGAGAGAGCGTAAAGCTATTCATGGTGTTAAGTTGTATTTATATTGAATTAAAGCTGTTATGCAAACATATTATATACAGTCAGTGTTAATTCAACGAAGAAAAGGGATATCTAGTGTTAGAGAAAATAAGACAATACGCTTTTTAAAAATGTTCTCGATAAGCCGAAGGGTTAGACCAATTTATGCAGGGAAACTTGGGTAAGCGATGACATCAGACATGCAATGAAATCGCTTTTAAATGCAAGCCCATTGAGCGCAGTACACAGGGGAGTGTCGCAAGTAATACAGGACGAGTGAGCGCATTAGACAGGGGAGTGTCGCTAGTAATACAGGACAAGGGAGCGCAGTACACAGGGGAGTGTCGCTAGTAATACAGGACGAGTGAGCGCAGCACACAGGGGAGTGTCGTTAGTAATACAGGACGAGTGAGCGCANAGTGTCGTTAGTAATACAGGACGAGTGAGCGCAGTACACAGGGGAGTGTCGCTAGTAATACAGGACGAGTGAGCGCAGCACACAGGGGAGTGTCGCTAGTAATACAGGACGAGTGAGCGCAGCACACAGGGGAGTGTCGCTAGTAATACAGGACAAGGGAGCGCATTACACAGGGGAGAGTCGCTAGTAATACAGGACAAGGGAGCGCAGTACACAGGGGAGTGTCGCTAGTAATACAGGACGAGTGAGCGCATTACACAGGGGAGAGTCGCTAGTAATACAGGACAAGTGAGTGCATTAGACAAGGGAGTGTCGCTAGTAATACAGGACAAGTGAGCGCATTATACAGGGGAGTGTCGCTAGTAATACAGGACAAGTGAGCGCATTAGACAGGTCAGGTGATCGCTTGATACAAGACAAGTAACCTCATTACACAAGTCAGGTGATCGCTTGTTACAGTACAAGTGAGCGCATTAGACAAGGCAACTGAGCGCTTCGTACATGTAGGACAAGCTTAATCGTAATCGTTAAATGATTAGACAGTGCAAGATAGCAATGATTATACAGACGCTTGCATGATAACTGCCAAAATAGTCGCGTGACGTACGTTCTTTTTTCCAACCAATTTCACTGTTTCTCCCAAGTCCATTACATTATGCATCAAAGCCGTCAATTTTGTTTAACTTCAAAGTAAAAACCTCTTAATTATCCCAATGGTTTGATTACTTTTATGTCAATATGCCCGGTACGGGCAGATATTTAATGCATTTTTAACCATTCTTGGCATGCCAAGAATGAAGTCAGCTGATGTCTTACCAAAATTTATCGAGGAAGTCAATGAAGACTCCTTCGGATTTGTTTAACTATTTTATTCGTTTTCGATTTTTTAATCATTTTAGAGTAAATACGGCGCACATAGAGTGGGTATAATTACAGGACGTCTGATAATTAATCGTTAGTTAATGAGCACAGCTTTAATGACTTAAGTTTGTAGCTTTTTACTTCGTGTCTGAAAAATTAGCTTCGTCGTTTTTAATTTGCGTGTTGAAGAAGGTAGTTT